AGAATCTTAAACTAAACACACTGGCAACCATAGAAAAAGCTGGCAACGTTGTCAATAGCCTAGTGACGTAATTAGGAGATTTTTTTTGGAAATATCTCGAAAACGGTAAACTCAATTGAAATTCCGATTTCACAGAAACGCCTTGAATAAAACCATAAAAAGTATAGGTCAGAAAAAATTTAACTACCCCATTAGAATAAATAAAGTCAGATGAACTTGTTGATGCGTATTGTCAGTGGGAAATGTTTTGACTCCCTGAAATCACGTGTACTTTTTCAACGAATTAATAATAATAATAATAATAATAATAATAATAATAATAATAATAATAATCTCTGCATCAAACACGCAAATGCTGCATCTGCATCTGCATCTGCATAACTGGTCTGGGTCGCTACACATCGATTGAGGAACTACATATGTCAACAGGCCTTCAGCCAATCACTGACTTTATCACCACTACTAACAAAATAATCTGTAACCTTTAAAATAAACAACATGTTTACAAAATTGCATACTTCCTTCACAAAATTTTTGGTAAAATACATATTATCCTTTGTTAAAATAATTACAAACCCTTGTTTTCTACAAAAAAATTTGATTTTTCCAACAGTGTAGGTATACTAAATAAGAATAAGAAAGTCATAAGTGCAGTTTGAGAAAACATGCTATCCCAACACATGCAAATAATAAGTACGTACACTCTTAGAAAAGACCTGGTATTTGCAATGAAAATTTAGTTCCCAGAACCAATTTTATTAGTGAAAATAGGCACAACAAAAAAATATGTTGTGGGAACTAATACAAATTTGTTTTTACAGTTTGTTGTCGGAACAGCCAATATTGGTAGCTCCAACCAACAAGTTTAAGTGCATCGAAATTAGTTTTTTTTTCATACAAATAATTGATATTTAATGCAATCACATTAGTCTGTCATTTTAGCAGCGTCTAAGTTGTAACAACTGCACTTGCTATTTATCGCAACAAACATTGTATCATGCAGGAATTTATTTTTTAATTGAAATTACATGAAAAAAGGTACATTTAAAGAGTTTAATAGTTAATATAATATAAATTTGTTTTGTACTGTATCTAAGTTATATTTAATATTAAATGCTTGCATTAGTAGCAACAACAAATTGGTATTATTCCACAGTACATACCTGCTTATTAAATATAACACTTTTTGTGTAAATATTATAAAAAATAGAGAAAGGAAATTCATGCCCGTTCGTTTTATAAATTTTTATTGTAAATTAAAAAATAACAATATAACTGAAAACACCAAATTTTGGTTTAAACATTATAACAAAAATTAATAATTACCTACTCTAAGAAAACATTTATAAATATTTTAACAATAAAACAAAAACGGTTCTTTGGTAAATATACACAGATAGGTACATTAAGATGAAAGTTGACTATACTTCTTCAGTAAACCGTGATGTTTACGTGAAGTGCAAGCCTTTGTTTAACAACTTAACAATGATTCTTAGGTACAACGTAACATACTTGCATAATAACAGGGGTAAGCATTCGATAAATTTTGAGTGTGAGCGCCTATAGTATAGGCCCTATACCAAAAATGCGACTTGAGCTGTAACAAAACAAAACAAAAAAATTCTCGAAATTCCGACGTGATGGAGACTTTTGGTGGGCACCATTGGATTCAGGAGGCCATTTTCAGTCGGAATGGCATTTTCACATTTTTGGATTTTTTTTCGAACCCCAAAACTACAATAGTGTAATTAAAGGAGTGCAATATTAATACCTAACCTTTAAAAACTGGAACAATTCAGGTAAACCCCATGTTCCTAATAAATCTGCTACTTCAGTCCGCTCATACATATTATTTGTTCAAGATATCTATAAGTACCTAACCAACACATAAGAATATATTCTTATATATATGAATAGTTAAAAAGTATGTTGCCACTGAATTTACAGGGGCAAATGACTAATTGTAATAAACTAGTTTCTTACCTAAAATATACCTACACTACACACGAGCTGATACACAAATACAAAAGAACAAACACCACCGAAGTCTGGACGCCGTGCAACACCGTTTGTTTACAGGTTAAAAGTAAAGCACGCGCCGGGCTGGACAAATCTTGCGCGAAATGCACAAAGTTTGCAGTTGCATTAACCTACAGAGACAACATCCCCAACTGACACTTTGTTTCACACCGCTGGTGTCTTAGCTGTGTGAAAAGTGACGCATAGTTTATACAACCGAACCGTTAGTTCCACGGACTAATTTCAGTCAGTTGAGAATGTTACTTAAATATTTGGTCCAACAAAAACATTTTACCGCCGAAATGATTTTTTTGAGATAATGTTGTCAATACTTCTAGCCAACACAAAGTTTCAGTTAAAATAACTTAATCGCCTTTTTGCAGTAAATAATACTCAACAACAAAACTAAATCTGTTCAGTTAATGATGCAAGCAGTTACACATATAAAGGTACTGATTACAAAAAACAAAAAAATTTATTTTCTGCAACAGTTTTACCCCAACAATATTAAGTTAGTTACAAATGCCAGGTCTTTTCTAAGAGTGTAGTTTAATAATACCTACACAGGCAAGGCGTTCAATACCTCTTCATTGTTAATGGTTTTGAGGACTGTGCTTTCAATCAATGGCGACCCGGCAGAGGAGGCAGTTGAGGCAGTGTCTCTCCTTGTATCAATACTGTATCGACTGAAATCCCACTTTAAAACAACGTTTCTACTCAGATACGTTGTTTTAAACAAAGATTTTACTTAGTTTAAGGCCTACAATCCTTTAAAAAAGGTGGATATACATACCCAAGTTGTTTATCAGGATAAAATTCTTTTTTAATTTTAAATTCTTTTTAAAAAGGTGTATCTACATTAGGGTGTCCCTTATTTTTATTTTTTTTACGCATACCCTCTAATTATATTTATTTCATGTTTGTATACTCCCAGTAAAAATTTCAGCTCATTCTATAAACGGGAACCCTTGCCGACTTGCATCTGAACCCTCCGTTAGCCAACGTTAGGCGCGCGGTATTTTGTAACACGGTTGGTCGCGAGGTCTTCGATCGAAAGTCATTTTGTGTTTGTTATTATGTGACCCTTATATTATAAATTATTGACAAATGTTAAAATATAATTTTATTTATGTGTATACTTTGATAAAATATATATTTTTACAGGGAGTGGCTAGTTACCCGGAAGGGTCTGGTGAATAGGCCGTAAACTCTGAAATTGATAAACTTAATGGGTTTTACTCTAAATAACTAAAAGAGCCTATTGTGAGAGATGACTACCGAAAACTTATTAAACTGTCTGAAATATTTTTGGGAGGACATCAAGAAAATAAATGCTTATAAAAATCTGAAATTTCATATAAAATTTTAGCAATACTAATTATATTAATATATTTAAGGGATAAAATCAACTAAATTAGTGAAACAAATGATAGAAACAAAAGCAATAATATTAAATAGTAATCATATTTAATAAAATCATTAGTAAAATACAGTCATGAAGTATATCTTCTTTTTAAAGTGTTTCGTGTTACAAAATACCGCCTAACGTTGGCTAACGGATGATTCAGATGCAAGTCGGCACGGGTTCCCGTTTATAGAATGAGCTGAAATTTTTACTGGGAGTATATAAACAAGTAATAAATATAATTAGAGGGTATGCGTAAAAAAAATAAAAACAAGGGACACCCTAATCTACATACATGAAAAATATATTTGTATTATAAGGTTTATTTGATTTGAATATTATGTATTCAAATTTTCCTCTTATAGATTTTCAACAAATCTGATCAAAATAAAACGACACTGACTTTTCAAAAGAATTCAATAGGAATAAAAAGTACAAATTTGTAGATACCCACGTTGTTTCCAAAATAACTTTCGTCCTGCTAAAATACGGTATCTGCGTAGATTGGTATTTTATCAGGTATTCTCGGAGATTATACGTTTAAGAGAACAATTTATTTACAGTTTGACATATACACTGTTATAAAAACCAGATTTATTAATATGAGTTTGTAGTTTGTTAATTTTATTTTGTAAAATTTTAACATTTTTTGTAGAAAACCAGGATTTGTAATTATTTTACCAAAGGAAAATATTTTACCGAAAGTTTTGTAAAGGTAACATGCAATTGTGTAGGCATTTTGTAAATTTTAAAGGTTATTTCGTTGAAAAAGTACACGTGATTTCAGGCAGTCAATCAGAACATTTCCCACTGACAATACGCATCAAGAAGTTCAACTGACTTTAGCGTCTGCAACTTATGTTTCTGCTTACTTTATTCTAACTCTTAACGTGTTCTTAACAACTGTCCAGAGTGTTTATAATATACTAGCAGAAATCTGTTATTATTGTTATTCGGATTCCTTATATTTAACGAGTGTGCAAAGTGCGAAGTATCCAAAAAAGATGCTATCAATGGTTTTTACTTTGTGTTCTGATTTTTTTCTTATGAGTCGTTATCAATCAGGAAAACTCCTTATCAATAAAAAAATCCTCTTACCGACAAATCAATGGTTTACCCCTTGCAGAATGGTGTGTTATTTAATTGTGTATGTTATTTTTGTGTTCATTTTTAATGCAACATTTTTTATTAAAATTATTTTCATTTAACTTCCCAATATCTTCACTTTTGTTACTGGGTCTACAAAAAGGTTTGTAAAACTAAGGTCCTGTTTGAAAATTATGGTTTTAAATATTGACATAGGATTATGTTATTAAATCTACAAAATATTTGTTATAATTACACACTACTTATTCAATTAGTTAACAAATTACAGTTGGTTGTAAACTTGACATAAAGTCATGTGGACCTGGATTAACATAAAATATGGTTAATATTTGGCTAAAATTAACAAATATTTTTTTACTGTGTAAATAGCAAATTTTAAGAACAATTATTAAATTGTTACGGTTATCTGTAACGAAACAGTTTTAAACATTTTATTATAAATAAATATATATAAGCACATAACATGTGTTTAACTAGATGAAGATGTATTACTTTCACTGGATGCATCACTTCCAGATAATCTTTCAAAAACTCCTTTTCGTACCAAATATTCCGGATGTGGAACATGCGGTTTTGCAGTTTGCAGGTAATTACTAAATTCTTTGGTAGACCTGTCAAAATACAAATACATATAAATAATATTTATTTTTAATATTTTATATTTTTGTGTACCTTAAATGAGTGATTCCTTTCCATACCACTTCCATTGAAACTATGTCCTCTCGGACATTTTCACTCTTATGCCATTTGGCTGCTATATCGCTAAGCTGGGGACGTATGAGCTCTTCAGCTGGCAAACGAGAACTGAATGCAAAAATTCTTGGCTGCCTTTTTGACGCAACAATATCCAATCGTATTTCTTTGGCAAGTTTGGCATTATTAGACAACTACAATAATATTATGCTATACCAGTTGCCATTAAAAAAAAATAAACTACAGATTTTAAAAATATATTTTATAAATCATTTAGTCATAAGGATTAAGACTTACATGGGGCATTTTTTTAGACAAAGCTATTTTTGGAGGCAGCGTGGGTATTTCCTTCATCTTCATATCCAAGGTTTTCGCCAAAGTATTTTGAGAACCAATCTCAAACATGCTCATTAGATTTTCTGGTGTTAAAGTTATGTTGTAATCTTGATTAATTTCCTTCATCCACGCAATAAAATCTATTGCAATCTAAAGTAATAATATTACAAAATATGTATGATTGAAATGTGTCTAAAAAATACCCTTTCTGAAACATAATCAGCTTTTTGAATAAGTGTCATTTCATCATATGTAAGTGGAGGTCGGGGTCTCCAAATGGCAGCTTTCTCTGGTGGTTGTAAAAAGAATTTTTTATACATTTTATAGTAGTTTTTTTCTGGATATCTAAAATTATTTAAATTAAAAAATATTTAACACCTTTATTATTTGAAACTGTCCAAACATGTTATGTTTTAGCAATTGCTTAATTAATGTTAATATGATAATTTATAATATTGGTGTAATTTATAATACGCATCGATGTTTTTTTAGTTAAATTAATTTAAGGTTAGATGTACTTATTATATATAGTATATTATACTTTGGTCGGAGCCAAAGTGAAGTATTTTTCTAGACATTGTTTTTTGTTATTCTTACAATTAATTGGTTAAGCTTTATATAGAATTATTATTTTAAATTAATATAATGTAATACAATTTTATTATTTAGCCAGATATTTGTTTACAGTTAAGAATTATGAGGTTTTTTATACTGATTAATAAAACAAAATAACACGGAATTTTTATATAAAGCCTTTTTCCAAAAACTAAAAAAACACATAAAAAATGGCAGGTTCGATTTTAATATTGGATATGTTTTGGGGAAGGTGTCCTTATTTCAAATGTGTCAATAGTTTTTGGTAAGTACCTCTAAAGTGAAACATGCGGTCCCTTCAGTAACAGCATTAAAGCTGAGAAATTGGCTTTTTGCCATATTAAAAATGTAAAAATACATGTTAATGACAACATTAACATAATTATTGTAAAGTGTATCCGAAAAACTTCTGTCACTGACACATCTTATAATTAGAAATAGAGGAAAATAATTCTGTATCGATAATTCACGAATCCCAAATCCATACAGAATATTATTTTACTAAAGTCATCATTAACCCAAGTCTTTCCAGATTGTGAGTTTTGTTTTTTCCACTAACAGTACTAAAATTATAAATATTTTCACTTTTAACCAACAATGCTTACTGACATAATATGTCTATTGACGAGTCTAACTATCGAAAAAATATCTTTTAATTAAGCTAACGCAAAATAATACGTACATTTATCGATAGCGCTTCCATATATGGAACTATAGTTTTCCACCTCTAAGCGACAGAATAGGGATTTTTTCAACGCGAGAGAAAGATGCTCAACAAGTATTAAAAAAATAAAAAACTGAATATTTAAATGGCCATCTTAATTTTACTTACTTTTTCTTTTCTTCTTCTGGTGGTATATACTCGTCAAAGTCAAATCCAGCATCAGTTCTACTTGTTAATCTTCTCGACAATCTTTTTTCTTTATTTACAAAGTTATCAAGTGCAAGCGCATCTTCAGTTCTATAATAGTTATTAATATTATCTAATATTTCGGAACCTTGTTCTGTTTCTAAATCCCATTCGGTTTCAGATTCGTTGTCATCACTATCATCAATGGTGGATGCCATTATAGAAGAAGCCCTTTGAAAATAATTTAGTTTTGTTTTTTTTTTGTAATTAAGCAATAATACAATAAGGCTGGGAAGTGAGTCTTTTTGGGCTGAGCTTAGAGTTTGAAAGCCGACGCCTAGCGAAGGCCTACAATTGAGCGTAGCACAAAAAGACAATTCTTAGCCGAAAGGCGAAATATGTTTTATATTCAAGACACAATTTCTTAAACGATACATAGAAGACAGAATTATAAAAATTATTATTAAAAGTAGAAAGTAAGATTGATTGGTAAGGTTTTTCAACGAAATTTGAGTGTCTTTAATACAATGTGCCTTTCTATTTTTTTCCAGATTTTTCAACGCCCAGAAAATAATTTATAGTTGATTTTTTAAATTGGTCATATATAATAAAAGTTTGTTGAATTTTATTTCCTACCTAATTATTATAATTATAATTTATTAGACTTATTAATCATCTTTCATTTCAGACGGTTTTGTCAAAATCGGTCGATACTTTCAAAAACCTTTTTAAAAAAGTGACCTTGACATTCAATTGTTTAAATGTACTGCTTGGCAGGCTGATTTGTATCATAAAAAGTTAATCGATTTAGCTACATGCGATTTCCAAAATGGTTTACACAACGGCTGAACGTGTTAAAATTATTTTTATTTATGATGCACAAAATCGTTGTGCTCTACTTCAGTGGCATTTAATGAACTATACCCGGGTAAAAGTCATAAATATGTTCAAAAGCTGGTTGCAAAATTTGAACAAACGGGATCTGTTTGCAATCGAAAAAGAAACCTGAAAACTTAATGTCTGAGCAGGAATTTTACGAGATTGTATTTAGTAGTCTCACTTAAGGTATGGAATTATGGGTTGGGGAGGAGTCTACAGCAATCTTTTTTATGTCACTTGCTATACATATGTTTTCGAAAAAAACAGAAATGAAATCCACATGCACAAGAAATAACCAGAAATTACCTAAACCCAAAGTTAACAAAACCAGCAGTAAGATGTCTCTCTCTTTCAAAAAATAAGTTAAATGTCGTTTAAGTTACGGTTATTGTTGTTGCTTTATCCGAATAAATTTTATTATTGTTTGTCATAAATTTTAGTGTTTTTTACTCACTTCCATAATCCCTCATTTTGGAACGTTTTATGAGCGATAATTATATAAAAATAAACGGGAGCCTTACAGGTCTTTGACCTGAGTTCAAACGTGATTTATTGTCTTTTATTTCCATTTTAATACTTTCCCCATGAATACAACACCTCAAAATTACATTGGGTTACTAAATTAATAAGTTTTATTACCGTAAGTATTTATTTTATTTATTTGTCGTAATTTAATATTTAACATATGTAACATTTGTCGTGGTTTCATTTTATCACAATATATATACATTACCATTGCGATCTCTTTGAAATACTGGATTCTTCGTCTCCTGGTAAAACATCCATACTGTCTCCAGAGTCAACATCCACTTCTTTTTTTTTTCTTTTGGATACTTTAACCACTTCTTTTTTGCACAATACATTTTTAGTCACAAACATTTGTTTGTTCTTTAAATCAGCACTAAATAAAATTTCACACACACTTTTATAAATTTGGGTATCATCGTTTATAAGTTTTCGTACTTCATGCTCTTGAATATTTGGTGACTAAAAATGTAACATTTTTACCATATTAAGCATTAAAAAAGACAACGGTTTACACAGAGAAATTTGCCTAATTTTCATTAAAAATATGTTAGGCTCAAAGACCCCAAACGCTCATTGAGCCAAAAAACGAATTTCGCGTTTTTACGATCAATGAGCGTTTTAGGTCTTTCAATCTAAATGAGTGAATCTTAAAAAACATGTGCCATCCCTTTAACAAAATGGGAGAAGTTTTTTTGTTAAAACAATCTGCCGACCAATGTTAATAGAATCTATTTGTATTATTTTTTTGTGAGGAATCACCATCGCACATGTTTTTTAAAACTCTATAATAGTAAATCATTATGAATCTTAAAAAACATGTGCCATCCCTTTAACAAAATGGGAGAAGTTTTTTTGTTAAAACAAACAATCTGCCGACCAATGTTAATAGAATCTATTTGTATTATTTTTTTGTGAGGAATCACCATCGCACATGTTTTTTAAAACTCTATAATAGTATAATAGTACCTCTCTAACGCTATCTTCAAGTTCTTCGAATAGTTTATTCCACCATTTTTTATATTTATCTGAATTGCTTTCAAGTTTAGAGTTTTTTACAACACTTTTACATTTTTTATTTGTTATTTGAGATTCTTTAGCCATTCTTTAGTCGGGACTTTGTGTTACACCCAGAATCAAACCAATTGTTTGGTCGATATTAATGCGTAAAGGCAAATTTAAGTAAAGACATGAGTATAAAATTACTTCTCAAAATAAATAAATAACTATTTTCAATTTGACAACGTCAAACATTTTGATAATACAAAAGTTACTTTAACTATAATTAACTTCAATAATAAATAGTATATTAAAGTACAAGTTGCAGAAGGCCACATATTCTCGCACGAATTCGAAATTTGGCCTCAAGCGACGAAGGAGCGAGTGGACGAACGAATGAGTGCGAGAATAGCCTTCTGCAACGTGTGATTTATACTATTTTCTCGATTTTAACTTTTATTTAGGTTTTTTTAATTGTTTTGTGGTCGTTGTTAGTTAGGGGATTTTTCTCGCAAAATGTCAGTTGGCAACACAAAATGACAATATTTGTTATCCTGCACAAGTACAACCTGAACTGCACTTTTACACATTAAACTTAAAATTTTGCATTAAAATGCATTGTTGGAGCAAACTTTATATTACAAAACAATAATAAAGGCTTCATTTTCAATAAAAGTAATGAATTTGAGGTTATTAATCAGTTTGACATTTTGGGGGTACCAATACTTATAAACTAAATGTTACCAAAAATCGTTTAAGAATGAGCTTCATTCTTCAACGATTTTGCGTGCGAGAATATGACATTCTTACATAAAAATCGAGAAAAATAATTTTAGTTAATTTATATATAGTTTTAAAAAATCTTTTATCTATATAATATTTACTGACAGATATTTATCTTGTTAAATTTATGAATTCAGAAATGTTGGTTTTTTCGTTCTATAAAAGGAATATTGTAGTATATTAAATCAATATATTTTGTAAAAGTATTCCCAAAGGTCCAAACAAAGTATTTCAGCACAAATTTTTTTTTAAAAATATACAAATTAATACAAAAATGAGCATAGGATCATAATCTTCCATTCGCCTAATTGTGGGATTTTCTCGCTCTCAATTTACTGCCTTGGCTAGCGTCTTGGTAGTGAAATGTCTGCTCGGCTATAATAAAAGCTTTCTGTTCTATTATGTACTAATATATTTTACTACATTTTGTCAAATTTACTTGTATCAACTGATCACAAAATGGTACTTTTTAGCACGTTTTTCTCGAATTTATGTTTTAAGCTCGACATCCTTAACTTTTATTATCAACAGTGGATTGACAATGTAAAGAAAACATGCAAAAGCTGATTTTGATATATTGGCCAAAAATGTACACGTGTGCAGTACAATCCCCCAAATATTTAAAAACTATTAAATGGGGATGTTGTTTTTTTTTGGTTGGTTAAGTAAATGAGTGTCTAAAAAAGTTTATTAAGGAGTTGCATACTATACTTTTTTACGAGAAATAATTATTATTATCTTAAAATAAATATTTTTATAGAGCGACATCTATAAAACAATAGGGGAATCTGTGTAACAGTCAAATGTTAAATTTTTAGGTGTTATAAATCGAAATGTATCCCTTGAAATTGGATTATCAACAGTTTTTTACAATGAAAGTAAAGAAAATGTTTTATGAGCACTTTACGGTGAAGCCCGAATTTAAGTTGTATTCAGTTTACTGCCGATGAAATTAAAAGGTCAGTACAATGTTCATATAAAATTTTCAAATATTGGCGTTAAAAAACTATTTTAAACTACTTTTGTATTGAGATAATAAAATAATTTTCACATTTAGCATTATTTAACAAGGGCAATTTATTTTAACGAAAGTATGACATTAAACAACTGTCAACTAACTTAAAACTAACTTCAGCCCGTGACTAAAAATCTGTTGATAACTTCAACCCGTGACTAAAACGCCATAAAGCCACAACTGGACAATGTGTATTTAAAAGGTCACTTAGTGTCATGGAAACATGTAATGGGCGTTTTAAAGGTGGGGTAGAAAAAAAATGACAGGATTTTGACACCAGGATACTGATAGATTTTAAATAATTCCTCAAAAAAAACGTAGATGTATAGTCAAGTAAACTCAAGCCATAGTGCAATTAATGTACATATTAAATTGCTAAATTTATCTTTTTTATTTATTTCGTAAGAATATATATTTATACCTTGATCCTGATAACTTGACGATGCGACGAAACTTCCTCCACTAACAGCAATGCCCTAATTAAATGACAAGCGAGGTGCTAATCTTTGCCTATTTCATCGATACAATTGACTTTTCTAAATTTTTGCTATTTTTTTGCCTGGTTTTAATTAACCAGAATACCAAGACAAAACTTTTTGAAAATGTGTCTTTAGGGAAAAACAAATGAATAAGCTTTATAATTTGTTGCCTCAATAAAATATTGAATAAATAAAATGCACTTTTTTACGAAGTTTTGTTAATTACATTGTTAAAAATGGGTTGCGGTATAGCAACAAAATCAGGGATTTGATGCCTCGGACGTAAAAATGGCAAAAATTGCCCGGTACTTGCAATTAGCAAAGGGCAAAAGCTCTGGTCGACCAAGGTTAGTAATAGAGTGATTAAGAGCGAAAGTTAGTTCAAATTTGCAAAAATAATACTTTGAGGGAAGTAACTTCTCAATGAAATGGGGATACTGGATCAACATTTGGCCGTAAAACTGGCAGAAAGTGGATCCACATCAAAATTTCTGTAAAAAATAATTGCAGACCTCAAAACAGAAGAAAATGGGATTGG